TAATCCAATAATCCCAAAACCTCTGATACCAATAATCCATCTAGATTACAACTCGGAAATCCATTATGTGGACCCCTATAAAAATCCCAACTGAAAACTGAAGTAAATAATATCCAACACTGAAAAATAAAGGAAATCCTATATAGATGAGTGATGAAGAGTATCTCTGCTCAGCATGAGCAATTTCTAAGTCTAGAACTGACGAACACCTAAAAAATAATGATGGGTCAAACCCACAAACAAGTTTTACTCGACTACAGCCCAAACAGAGACTTGATGATATGTATCAACTCAACAATATATAACTAAGTAGTCTGTATATATATATATACACACTATAGGACGCTCACTGGACTATAGGTTTGCCTCAACGTGAATAGTAGGTAACATGCAAATCGCACATAAAGTGGGCATGAGTACCTAGACCTATCAGAGCACAGATCTATCCATTATATCCAGTTACTCATCCTAGGCAATATGCGCGCCCTAACCATGATCCTGAGACTCAAGCTCATATCATAGCATATATTTATACATATATAGAATCTAATCCTATCCAAACATAAAGTAAACTATTCAACCATTTTATTTCAATGGCATGTCATCCAACTAATTCTGTTGACCTAACACGAATAGGTAGGACTAAACATTTTAGTTAATCCATCCCTAAAATAATAGAAATAGGTAGGGCTTAACTTATTAGTTAATCCGTCCCTAATATGCCCCCATATCCTTACAATGGTGCATTCAATCCAAAATCCAACAATAGATGCAGTATATATATATATATATATACATCAAAAAATCTAAATATAGCATGGTATAAACATATAGATATCCCTTTTACATTTATTAATACAATAATTTAAATAACATATAGTTAACTTGTTTTCCAAGTAATTAACCTACATCTCAAATAAATTATATAAAGGTTCATAATCATTATTTAAACATTAATTTCAATTGTTAGAACAATTAAATTAATCCATTCATCCAATTAATTAACAACTTAGAAGTTATTTAACATTCAAAATATCCACATCCTTAGCATATATAAGTGTACTATGCATTATGGGACTTTTCCAAGTCTATATAACCCTTAAAATTTAATTAAAATAGGTTAAAACAAAATCTGGAATCAAAACACATCAATTCCAGGTTGCAGCCCAACCGAGTAGACTTGTTCCTAATCGAGTGGACTCGATGGCCAACATACATCAACTAAGTCGAATCGGTTCCAACCGAGTGGACTCGATGGCCAACACTCATTAACTAAGGCGACTCGGTTCCAATCGAGTCGGCTTAGTTGCAACTGAGTTGGCTCAGTGCCTGCTGCTACTTTTTCTTCTTCGTTTTCAGCCTCTGTAAATCTGTTTGACCTCCATTGTTAAGGGTCCTAAGCTTCAGTCTAAGTGCCATACGCCCTTATTAAATTATTTTAGATGTTTTAACACATAAAGATCAAACTTAAACACCAAATCATGCATAAAAAATTCAAGAATATACAAATCAAGAACATGTGAATAAAATCATAAAACCCTCTGTTCTAATCCGATTTAAGGATGCATAATTATTCAATTTTATTGTTTAAGCATCCTAGAATTTCCTAGGCATGTATAGAACACGAAATCTAAGGGAAAGAGTTAGAAAAAGAACTTGCCTTAAGAATTTCGGGTTGAAAACCTTAAACTTTCTTTTTCTCTGATTTTCTGGCGACCTTTGGCTGTCGTCAAACTTCTCTATTGCTTCGTGCTAGACCCACGAGCAACCTCCCTTCCTACCTCCTTGGGTTCGGCCTTTTCCTTTGGCCGCACCTTCTCTTTCTCTCCTCTGTTCTCTCTCAAAAACTCTCAGTTCCTTGCCTCCCTTCTAATGTCACATAATAAACCCTAGCAGACCTATATAATACATATATATAATGCTACAAATCCTATTCCCTCCCCAAGTCTATTAACTTTAAACTTAATAAAAGAAAAAAGGAAAATAATAATATACATATATATATTTATATATATATAATAGTAATAACTATATTATGTGTATATACAATCTGACTATCTATAATACTATCACTATTACTAATACAAATAATAATAATAATAATAATAATAGTCTATCCTTAAATACATATATATACCCATTTATATAAACATACATCTCTCCATGGGTAAATACCCATACCCACAAATCCTTCTATACAAGTAATCCATGTGACTCAAATGGGTTGGTCCATTATTACTATCCAAATCCAACTCTTTTAAAATAAAATAAACATTTAAATCATCTAATCTACCAATTAATTACAATTAATCAAACACATCATTTAAGCAAGCACATCAGTTAAAATAATTTAATTAAAATAAACCATTTAAGCATAAAATTTACATTTAAATAATTAATTCAATTAAACACACAGTCAAATAGCCAAATAATCAAATAAATAATTAAAAATGCAATTAAAATAATTAAATAAATCCCGAGACAATCCTTTTAAAATTAGGGGTATTACATAGTTGGATCGAGGTTCAAGGCTCCTCGATTGACAGTGTGTGGCTTGGTTGAATCGAGGTTTAAGGCCCATCGATCAACAATTTGTGGCTTGGTTCGATCGAGGTTCCAAGCCCATCGATCGACAGTTTGTGGCTTGGTCGGATTAAGGTTCAAGGCCCATCGAATCGATAGTTTGTGGCCTGGTCGGATCGAGGGTCAAGGCCCATTGATTGATAGTTTGTGGCCTGGTCGGATCGAGATTTAAGACCCATTGATCGACAATTTATGGCGTGGTCGGATCGAGGTTCAAGACCCATCGATCGATAGTTTGTGGCTTGGTCGGTTCAAGGTTCAAGGCCATTAATCGATAGTCTGTAGCTTGGTCAGATCGAAGTTCAAGGCCCATCGATCAACAGTTGCCCTTTCAACAAAATTGACATTATTATTGTATTAACACCTCCTTTATAATTCTGCATAGGTAGGGATGTATTCACTTGAAAGAAAATAATAATTATTAAAAAAAAAAAAAATTGACATTATTATTGTATTATACCCATTAAATGAATGATTGAACATCTCCTTTAAAGAAAGGGTTAAATGTTTTATCACCCTATCATGTTTGCCTTTATTACTCACATATTAAACTAGTGAAAAATAATAATAATAAAAATAAAATAAAAATAAAAAATAAAAAAACATAAACATCTCCTAAGGTTTGGTTAACTTTTGTTAATTGACCGTTTAAAAAGTCAAAAGTCAACTAATTAAAAAATATATAATGCCAAAACTACCATTGACTAGTAAAGATTAGAAGTATGAGGCCATAAATGAGTTTGAGACCAATTAGATCATAGATGACGTGAACCTTGACTTTTTTATTTCATTTTTCATTGAGTTGTATGTTTAATTCAGGCATATAAATTAAACATATTGTGAAATTATACTAACATATTGTTAGGTGTTTAATTGAGGCATATGATTGGTAAAGCTAATTATATGTTTCATGCTGACTAATGTTTTGGTGTTTTGAATCAATTCAATTCATGAAATGAAGGTTGACAAATGAAAATGAAAAAAGAAGAAGAAATAAATCGAGAAAAAATATGGCATCATATTACGAACATTGTATAAAATATATCAAGTAATCATAGTGTAGTCAATTTGGCTTAATCAGCTAAATTGTGTATCATGATTCAAAATTAATTTCATAATAATTTTATTTGATTGATTTAAAAATATATATGTTCATGATATTAATTAATAATTTTATTGAATTGATTTAAAGAAGAAATCAAACTAGATTGGAAACACTAAATGTTATTTTTCGAATTTTTTGTGAGATGTCCAGGTGTATTCCACATTCTTACACATATGGTACATGCAATTCTTTGAATATTCACTACTTATGCCTAAATTATAATGATATATCTAAATTAATTTAGGTTGATATTTTTGTCCAAATTAAAATGACTTAAATTAGGGAAAAGTAGTTTTATCATTATATTTTTTAAATTAGTTAACTTTTGACTTTACTAACAATCGACAAACGGGATGTCAAGACAAAGTTAACCAAATATAAGGAAAAATTTAAGCTTTGTTTTTTTTAACTAGTTTAATTTGTGACCAATAAAGACAAGTTTAAGGGAGTGTTAGAACATTTAACCCTTAAACAAAATGCCCTCAACCACCAGTAGTTTTGAAATATATCTATATGCTGATTGGACAACTATATTGATAATCATATAAGATAAGATAAGATGTGATAATCATATAAAATGTCCTCGGGGGTCTCGTGTCTCACGTGCAAATTTTTTAATTCTAAATTCGTTGCTCAAATTAATTACACTCCATTTTGGGTTTTTTTTTTTTAACGAATATTTATTAGACTAATCATAACTTTACCTTTCTACTTCACAATTGTTGTTGTTGACTTTGCAACTAACAAGTATAATTGAAGCCACTTGCAAACTTCAAGTTCAAGGTCTTTAGGTGAATTGACTGTTGATAAGATTTAATACAATTGGATCAATCATTCAAATTTCAATATATCTCTGCAAGGTCTTACATCATTATATATCAATTTCAGTTTAATTTAAGCTGTCACAGCCAAGCAAAAAAAAAAAAAATGAGAATAATAAAGAAAATAAAAACTTTTTAAATGTTTACAATTAAATGGCTGCTGGGCAACGCGTCAATCATGGATTGGATTGATGAGAAATTGCCCATTTTCGATATATATATATATGTGTGTGTGTGTGTATGTGTGTGTGTGTATAGAGAGAGAGATCATTCTCCTATTCAAAAGCCGTAACAGTCCATCCAAAAAATTTGAGCATAACCATTTCCCAACCATGACCAGCTCAAAGATCATAACTTGCAAAGGTAAGCTCTCAACTCAACTTACTTCCATCAGTGCTACATTTAGTTTGATATATATATATATGTATGAATGTATTAGTAAAATTTAGTGTGTTGTGGCAGCTGTAGTGTGTTGGGCAGCTGGGGAGGCAGTGAAGGTGGAAGAGATACAAGTAGAACCCCCCAAATCGTTTGAAGTTAGAATTAAGATGCTATGTGCCAGTTTGTGTCACACAGATGTGCTATGCTGCAAAGGATTTCCAGTTGTTAGTAACATCCTTCTTAATCTATAATATATACACTTCCATTACATTACATTACATTAATACTCATACTTTTTCTTTTCTTTTCTTTTTTTGGAAAAAAAAAAAAAAATTCTTTCTTCTGCAGCCTTTGTTCCCACGAGTTCTTGGACATGAAGGTGTTGGGTAATTTCTCTCTCTATATTCTTTCTATGACCAAGTGAAAGCTAATCTACAAACTTAAAGAAAAAAATTACCACGCAATATGATATATTATTATTGATGATTGAATGAATTCTTAATAAAATAAAATAACGGTGACAATTGGGTGAGTTTAGCCGGACTTTGAACGGGTTTGTAATGGGTTAAGTGTGAATAGATCACTAACCCATTATCAACGCATCAATAGTGGGTCATAAATGAATAAAGGTTCAAATTCATTGTTCAAAACGAATTAACCCATTCCAACCAGGGTTTTGGTTTTTTTTTTTAAAAAAAACTTTTAACTTTTGCAAATTTTTTACTTTCCTACCATCCATGGCTAAAAAGAAAATTAATAACTTGTTCTTACATTAATTTTTTTTTATTTTGATTTCAAGCATTACAAATTTTTTTCCTTTGAAAAAAGTCACCATACAACTTAATCAACAATATTAATTAATTTTTTGATTTTAAGAGTTTTAATTTTTTTTTTTAAATTTATTTTGGGAAAAAGTCGCTATACAACTTACTCAACAATATTAATTATATATATTTAAAAAAAAATATTTGAGCAAGAGTTTTATTTAATTGTTGGTCATTTATTTCACACCGAAGGAGTGAAGAGAGAGAGAATTAAAAATAAAATAAAAACAACCAGCAAGGAGAGAGAATGCAAGAAGAAAAAATAATAAAAAAAGAAACGGAAGAGAGAGAGGAAAGAGGGGGGAAAGAAAAGACGATTTTATTTGAGTGGGTTAAGATGGGTACCCATACTTAATATATAATTGACCATTGAATTATATGAATACTCACTTTTTACCCATTGTTACTCACTTATTTAAATTTAAGTGTCCAAATAATTTAATTTTAGTAAGCGGATTTGAACGATTTAATGAGTTTAGACTTAAATTGTCATCTCTAAAATAAAATAAGAAACCTAATCATTAAAAACTGATGAATACTAAAATTGAGAATAATCCGAATTTACAGGCCTTATCATAAACGAAGTAATTCAATTTAGCTAAGTAAAGAAAAAAATTGAATGCAGCATGGTGGAGAGCATTGGAGAAGGAGTTACAGAGGTAAAGGAAGGAGATGTTGTGATTCCAACCTACCTAGGAGAGTGCAGAGAATGTGAGAATTGTAGATCAGGTAGGACAAATATGTGCCAAACCTACCCATTAGCAGCTTTCAGTGGTCTATTACCAGATGGGACATCAAGAATGTCTATCAGAGGCCAAAAGCTTTATCACTTTCTCAGTTGCTCAACATGGTCTGAGTACACTGTTGTTGATGCTAACTATGTTGTCAAGATTGATTCAAGGATACCTCTCCCACATGCTAGCTTTATCTCCTGCGGCTTCGCCACCGGATTTGGGGCAGCCTGGAAGGAAGCCAAGCTTCACAAGGGATCAACCGTGGCTGTTTTGGGTCTGGGTGCTGTTGGATTAGGGGTAAGCGCGCGCGCGCGCGCACACAATAATTGTCACAAGGTTTTTACTCTGTTTCTCGTGATCCTGCCCTACTGATCGAACTGCACTGCATGCAGGTGGTGGAAGGAGCTCGATTACATGGGGCAGCTACAATAATTGGCATCGACATCAATGAGAAGAGACGCGATAAGGGGAAGGCATTCGGAATGACTGACTTTATAAACCCTAAAGATTCTGAGAAGCCTATTTCGGAAATGGTGAAAGAGTTGACACAAGGTAAAGGAGTGGACTACTGCTTTGAGTGTTCTGGGGTTGCCAAATTGGTGAATGAAGTCCTTGAATCCACAAAAGTGGTATGCATATACAGATTCATATCCATTACATGTTTTGAAACTGTTAAAGAACAACCAAGCATTGTATATATATTTTTTTTTCTTCTTCAGGGAATAGGAACAGCAATACTACTTGGCGCAGGAACTCAGAAAAGCATTGAAATTGACTTCATCCCACTTCTTTCTGCTAGAACGCTCAAGTATTCTGTTTTTGGTGGGATAAAAATCCAATCCGATCTTCCCATTATCGTTGACAAATGCATTAACAAGGTACTAACTATAGTTCCCGCCTTAAAATTGTTCAACATAATTTTCAGAATTTCTGTTTCTCCATTAACAGAATTAGAAATCATCTAAATGTGTTATATTACGATGCAGGAAATCAAAAAACTTGATGAGCTTTTGACTAATGAAGTTCAAGTGGAGGATATAGACAAAGCATTTGAGCTACTGAAGAAACCTGAGACTCTCAAAGTCGTCATCAAGTTTTAATTCTATCTTAAAGGCAACTAAAAAGTGTCAACGATCTTGTAACATCTTTGTATCGTTATCACATGTATCTTTAAACCAAATAACAAACTTGCTTGAAAACAACTTCTCACTAGATGAACATCCAATTCATTAAAGCGGCACACGCCTATTTTTGAAGGGTGTGTTCCCATCGGAACTGCCCCATTTCTGTTACTTTAACGGGGTAAAAAAAAAAAAGATGCAGCGACACAATGTTCAGTTGCATAGGCTATCGACTCTCACGATCTGTCAAATAACAAATGGGTAAAGTGACCTTAACATCCCTTAAATATATATCAACCCCTTGTGTGCGCAAAACACTTCAAATTTGCAAATGACACATTAAAATAAATATGATTTCTTGGGGGTTGAAGATAATGCCATGAGGTTATTGTAGAGAGTGAGAGCTCAAAGATAGAAAGAATACACTGTTGTAGAGGAAATATATTGAGAGAACAAACCACATATATATATATATATATATATATATATATGGGTAATTTACACAAACCTTTCCCATGATTTGCCCTAATTACAGGGACCTCTCTTTCTGTTTGGAAAATTACTCGGACCTCCTTTAAATTTGAAAATATCTTACACGGACCTCCCTTATGTAGTTATGTGTGATATACCGTTAAATACACTAACGGGCCTTGCTAATTTACTGAAATTCCCTTAATTTTCTATGATAAATTACTTAAGTATCCTATATATATATATATATATATATATAGAGAGAGAGATATATATATATATATAGAGAGAGAGAGAGAGAGAGAAATTAAATCTTAAAACTATTTGGGGCCACCACCGCCAACCCCCATGGGTGCCACCACGGCCACCGCTACCAACATCTCTGTTTTCCTCCATCTTTGTGTGTGTGTGTATATATATATATATATTTGTAATGCGATATATTAACGACCTCTTCTTTTACACCGGTTGGATTAAGAAACTTTAGAGATAAAAGGAGAAAATAAAGTTTCCTTGCTCTAAAAAAAGAAAAAGAAAAAAGGAAACATAAAACCAATAACGCTATTTTTTCACCCTCTCCCGTCTCTTCATCTCATTGTGTGATTTTTCTAGTAAGGTTCATAATTTTAGAACCACCAAAAACCGAGAAGGAAATAAATAGTATCAGAGATTAAATATTTGAATAAAAATAAAAATGTAAAAGATTATTAAAAAAAAGGATCAGCAAGAAAAAAAAAAGAACTATGATTCGCCTGAACAATTCGCCATTGGGTGGAGGTGGTAGCGGCAACGACGGTTCATGAATTGGGTTTTCTTTAAGGTAAGCCAATTCATGAAGGGATCGATCCAGAGAACGAATTCTTGCTTAGAACAAGCTTGTTCAACGAAACAAGGCATCCAAAGCTCGCTGGAATAGGACTCGTGAATCGATTACTCGAAGCATCCAAAACTTAGAGCCCAGATAGTGATGACTATGAATTAGGCAGGGGACCCTCTAGTGACCCTCTAGTGTGCTGTTGCTGAAAATTTAAGCTTTTCCGACGATTCTTGCTTCTCCGGCTTAGGAATTGTACAGTCCTCCATCCTTATCTTTTTCATTCAATTCGGTTAAAAAAAATATATCAGATCAATTCTTAAATTAATTTAAGAAAATTAATATAAAACAAAACAAAACAATAACACACTGGAATTGGGTTTTTCATGACCAGGTTCCGTCACACAGATCAAACCCAATCGCAATTTTGATTTTCAGAATAAAAACCAAATCACACAGATCAAACCCAATCGCAATCGCAAATGTCATACCCACAAACCCAATTGTTTGCAGCCACCATTCCTTTTGTCGAAATTGGGTTTTTCATGACCAGGTTCATGAATTGAGTTTTGTGATGATGTGCAAGGAGAAGAGCTTTTCAAAGAAAATCTCCATTGCTTATGTAACCATGGTGCTTGATACGAGAACAAAAGAATCAGAAGAGACGATCTTCTTTCTTGATGGTCCTTCCTTGTGGGAATGATGTTGACTGTTGAGCCGTTATCCGCCTTACCCTGGCCTCACCTCAAACTCTTCGAACCTAGCTAGCACTATCTTTACGTCGGTAAGTCAAGAAGCACCGCCAGCTCTTGGTTGCCTCAAAATATAATATCAAGTATTATATATATATATATATATATATATATATATATCTCTCTTTTTTACCTTAATTAAATATGAAATTATATATAGACAATGGTATTATGGGAATTTTAGTAAAAATAGTAGATGACATCATCAATTTCCGTCGTCGACGGGCGTTGACTCTAACAGAAGGGAAGTCCGTATAGGATATTTTCAAAAGTAGGGGAAGTCCGAGTAATTTTCCAAACAGGAGGGGAGGTCCCTATAATTATGGCAAACCATAGGGGAGGTTTGTGTAAATTACCCTATATGTATATATAGAGAGAGAGAGAGAGAGAAATATAAATAAATAAAAAATAAAAGCCTCAAAAGTTGGTTAAATAGGGTTGCCGTGCACTTGACAACACCCCTACATAGAAAATATCATAAAAAATAATATAGCTAATGAACACCCCTTGGGCATTTTCGAAAGAATAAAAAGGCAAAATGGGCATGCTACAATTACTTTAAGTTAGATTTTGCAGGAAAATAATTTGAGAAGTGGGGTTTGAACTATTAAGGGTATTTATACCACATTTTAAAAATAGGGGTGAAAGTGAATCTGGGAGTATATGACAGTGGTGTCAAGGGTACTTTACCAAATAACAAATAGCGGAGCAGTTGTAGTACAATGACTAGACCTATGATTAAAGGAGATGCTAACAGAAGTGCGACCATGGTCTGGTCTAGGCAATTTCTTGATTCGACCGTGAGGCATTACAACAAAATGACACCTTGCTTTGAAACTATGATAAACTTTATTTAGGGGCTCTAAACTAATTTCACATTTTCATGGAGGGGGATGATACACCAAGGATTCTTCTAAAGCATTTTTTGATTTTATCATCGTCACTTATCAATTAATAAAAACCTAAAGTTGACCTCTTCCCAACAAGAAAGCTAGAATCAACATAAGAGAACCTAAAAGGCTGATGAAAAATTTCTAGTTAGAGCAAACACAAGAGAACCCTAATATGCAGAGAAAATTTTATGGCACAGGATTGAATCCATGGACATCAAGAACTCATAATGAAGGGTATTGTGTCTAAAACACATGGCTAGGTACATAGACCAGTAGTTGAAAGCTCCCAAATCCCAGTATATACCATTCATAAAGAACCACACACGTGCACAAAGGAAACAGAAGTACACCAGACGCCCACTTGTCCACTAAAGTGAACCCAAAATTCAGGTAGACTGAGTAGGCTGTCTAGGAAAGCTAAAAACAAGGGCCAACAAAGTTTCCAACAGCATAAGTAGCATAACACAATAGAAAACCAATTAATTCTCAATCCATTTCCATGTCTGCTAATGAAATAGCCAACAAGGTGATATAATAAATAAACTCTTCAAAATCCAGTTTTTGCCACAGAATCTAATTTTCCTATATTCCTAGTCAGTTGGGCCTCCCTATTCTTGCTGATAATCATAATGGGCCTCCCCAACCTTGTTGCAAATAACATTTCAACAAATACAAATCTTACCATCCATGCCAACACTCTATAGGCCTACATGGGTTTTATTAAGCCCTTCGACCTACTTCCGGACCTTCCGGTCATGACCAAGTGAAAACAAACTCCTCTATGAATATGTCCATGGAGTTACTAATATACAGAGACCAATTAGCCTAATGAATACAGTTCCTAAATACCCAAATGGTACGATTTCAACTATTTCTCAAAGTTGCTCCTAGTAGGCAGTGATGGAGTGATGGCAAATACTATCCAATCTCCTATTTTGTAATATATATATATATATATATATATATATATATATATATATAAAGGGAAAATTGTATCAAAGGGTTCAACATATGCTAACCATTACACTGAAGTTTCAAAACCAATAAATCTTCCAGCAACTAACCAAACTTGCAGGAATAACACATGGAAGTCAGTCACATTTACATACACATGTGGTTTTCAGTGTTTTTTCACTACCCAAACACACATTTAACTGGTTGAACTGGAACTCAAGAAGTTGATGATTCATTGCAGAACAAACAAAAGCAGGTCTTACATGGCGGCTTCTTCAGCATCAGTTTCAACTGGAATAGGAGGCATATTATTGCCACCTCTCAACCTGGAAGACACATTGTCAATGGCAGAATTGAGTTGGCTTATTTTTGCATTCAAGGTCTGCCTGGTTTTCTGCGCTCGACAAAGAAAGGGGGGGAAATGAAAAATTAGAACAAAGTAAAACCATCAATCAGCAGAAGAAGTTGGTGCGAAGTCAGTAACAGTTTAATCACCTCTAAACCTTCATCGTAATAGATTGGTCGCTTTGCCCTCCGAAAACCATACTCATCTTCATTTAGCAGGGATCTTCTAATCTAATGAGATGAGAAAACAGAGCAAACCACAATAAACCCCTTTACTTTAAATGCAATCCCAAAAGATATATAACAGAAAGCAGAACAAAATCTGATGCACAAAGGCCAGTGAGAAAAAAGGTGTTTTAATGCTAGTCTGCTAAACTCCCTCACCCAGTCACTGCCAATAATACGAAGAATATATAGATGATTCATCTGACTAGCTTTATTAATTATTATGCAAAATAACTTGGAAATCGTATAGCAACGATGAAAAATTACCAGCAATAAAGTAATCTTAAAACTAGGAAAAAAAATCCTAGCAGGACAATCAAACAATTCCTTGTTTGGGAGGGGGGTGGAAATCCTTTATTGCATCATAAATGAGCTATCCCAAGCTCGGTCTCAAAGCAATTGCATATTGTACATCGCAAAGGGCAGGCATCAAAGAAAAAAAAAAAATTGAAAATGCAAAGGTTAGAGGAAGCCCAGATTAACTCTCTCATCTTGAGAAACAAATTGGAGCCATGGCATACAAATAGGAAGAAAAATTACTCTTTACTCCACATCAGATATGAACAACTATGCACAAATACTTTCCAGAGGTACAGAAAAATTTAATAAGAAATATTCTGAAGTTAATAGTGACAGAAAAAATAGTAGCAGCAGCAAAAACAGTTAGTTGGGTGTACGCGCGTGAGGGGGGGAGAGAGAGAGAGACAGAGGAACTAGTGAAAGACAAACTGCAAATCCTAAATCAACTTACATAGGAAAGTACAATTTAAGATTTTTCCATATAAAAGGGATACCTGGACATATCAAATTTGGGTAAATTACACTAACAGCCCTGAGGTTTGCCTTAATAACAGGTAGATTAAAATTTTGGTGTGTGATACCCACAGACCCCTCGACGTTTAACGCCTGTTACACTAACACCCGATGCCGTTAGCAGACATGGTTTCAGAGCATTAACACCTTATGATATTACCTAAATGTCCAACGCCTCTCTCTCTATCTGTTTCTCTCTCTCTCTCTATATATATATATATATATGTATACGTATATGCACACACATACACAAATATAAGGTTTCAATTTGTTCTTATTTGGTTCGTGAAATTTGCCTGCGAATATACCAACATTTATGCAAATTTTGAAATGATCCTACAGAGTGATTTGCTTTAAAGTCAATTCAAACCTATTGTATGAAATTTTTGTTTTCACTTTTCCATTTGGGGTTTTTTTTTTTTTTTTTTTAATTCAATAAATTTTGAATATTTTTAACATTATTTCAGTTTTTAGCTCAATTTATTGTTATTAGTCTTTTGGCTGCTATTTGTACAAAATTTTAAGTGGGAATGATTATGGTTTACATTGGATTTATGATTTGCAAGTTTAGAAGTGGATCACTTATTAATATATCTGTATTTAGTTTAATTTGTTCTTGATCTATCTGAGTGTTTGGGGCTGCACACTACTGCTTTTTTGGCACATTTACCCTAGAAAGCACTGACACTTCACCCAGGGTTGCCGTGGCGGTGGTAGTGTCGGACACAGATAGAAATGTCCTGAAATTTAAAATAAAAAATTCTTGTACACGGCAAGGACATTTTAGACATTTTCAAGGCACAGCGGGGTGGTTTTGTAATTATTTCTTTTAAAGAATGAGATTCAATGCAATTTAAAATATATCATGAGTTAATTAGAAAAATAATATAAAGTTTAGGATAATAAAAATAACAAACATCTAGCTCTAAGCTCCAAATTACTGATTTCATTTATGATTGTATGGATAAGATGAGTAAAAATTATTATTTATATATATATATATATAATATATAATACAACTAATTTTATCCGTATCCTATTTTTTTAAAATTTGTTTTTTCGCCGTATCCGTGTCATGTCGTACTAGTGTTCTGTGTCCATATCCTTGCATCCTAGGCTTTACCTTATTACAGAAGCAAATATATGCCTTTTTTTTATAATATTCTTATTTTTCTCATATATTCCTACTATCAATATCTTACCGTTGGTAGACACTTCAATAAATTTGTTTCTCATGTCTGCGTGTACAGTAAATTTTAATTATTAACATTTTTCACTATTGTGGGATATAATTTTTGTAATTGGCAAATTTCAGTGTCAAAACAAGTCCGATCGAGTTGTAATCTTCAAGTTATTATATCAAGATCGAGATAGACTATAGAATTGGAAAGTTGTTCAAGTTTGATAAACTATGATCTACGAAAAAGATATGAACAACACTTTAGGAAGTTATTTCCCAAATAGGACACTATACATTCTATGTATATTCTTCAAAGTTACCAAAACAGAAGTTTTCCAAACTGGTAAACCTTACCTTTCAATTCTGTCAAGTGGGAACCGGTACCAAGCTTCTTCTACCAGTTCAAGAACCTTTGCTTCAAAGAAAACATTCTGTCCTCTGGGAATTGGTTCCAAAGTTGGCTACCGGTTCCACATGCTAATACAGTTTAAGTAATTTGTTTCCTGTTCTGTCTAAACTTCCTATTTGGTATAGACTTCTTTCCAAAAGCCTTATACACGAAAATTTACCTTTTCTTATACATATCTAAGTCTTTGAAAGTTTATATAAACCTTGATTTTCATCTAGATTGATACGGCTTTTACATTAGATCTTCTGATTTCTTAAAAGCCTATTTGAGAGATATATTGCAGAAAATCAAATCTGAGTTTTCTATTTTTCTTTCTAGAACACACACATAAACACAAGAGTGATTTTTTAGAGTGTTACCAACGTGCCAGTGGCCTAGCGGTACCAAGTCCCTACTTTCCAAAGGAGGCAATGGGTTCGAACCTTAGTGGAGGCATGTGTGTGTGAGTGAGTGAGTACCAATTAGGAAAAAAAAAAAAAAAAAAAGATTTTAGAGTGTTTGTTCAAATTCCTAATCGCGTTCAAAGTTTATTGAATCTTGTATCTACAACGATCAGAGAAAGCAGATCTACTTCTACATCAAATTTAGATCTTGAAAAACAGAGGTAAAGCGATCACACTTTGAAAGGGTCAAAGCATTCTAGAAGTGTTGTTTAATCCACAAGCAATCCTTCTACAAAGATCAAGAGTAAGTCTGAGCTCAAGAGTTATTGGACGTGATGTCGCAAAGATTGTCAGCGATTGGTGTTTGATAGAACAATAGGGTGTGAGCCTAAGTCAAAGTCCATTGTACTTTGTTTCAAACGTAATGGATCGATTTACTTTTGACTACACAGTCCACGAAGTTTTTCCGTAGCAATTGGTCTATTCTACCAATTGGGGTTTCCTCGCTAAAAATCCTGGTGTCATCTCTAAACTCCATTTACGTTACTTTATTTTATCTTACATGAAATTAATTGATTAATTGCTAAATTAAGTAAAGTTGATTAAAATAGAAAGACACAAATCTGTTTTTTAAATCTAAAACTTTCTACACAAGTAATCTTCCGCTGCACAACTCACAACTATATCTTAGTAACCACAATGTGTTCACTTTTTATTTTAGGGCAATTAAGAAGATTGATCCAGAATTTTTTCAAGTTGATTTCATGCTTCAGGTGTGTTGATTTTTTTTTTTTTAATCATTATTATTATTTTTCTCTTTCCCCTTTTTGGTAAGGGAGGGTGTTTTCACCCTCTCAACGGACAAGAGGATACTCACAATCATCCAAACCACAAGTATCGGGTAAGCCCAAAGCAAAGGCTTGATGCTCACAAGAATTGAGCACCTCAGCATTCTGCCTAGTAAGCTACACCGTGGAGGTTCCAAGTCTGTAGATATTCATCAGTCCATATATTGCAGTCCTTGAAGCAAAATCTCATGTATGGGGTATACTCAATTCCTCATCTCCTCTTTCTTTTTGTTATTTAATGTTGTTGCTTTTTGTTTTTTCTTCTTGTTTGTATACTCAATTACTTTAATCTTCTTTCTTCTTATCCTTGTTATCAGAATGTTGTTTCTTCTTTCTTGAATTGATGTCTATACTCTTAAGATAACCTAGTATTACTCTGATTGAACACCTTTATTAACAACCAAATAGTTCAAACTTACTAGCCATTTCTTCCACTGCATATACTTCCACCACACATCCCTCCCAAACAAACAAACAAACAAACAAACAAAAAGGAAAATGCCATGACGAATCATCCATTTGCCAGGTGCTCAATCAAATGGATGAAGGCATGCTCATGGTTAGAGCTCCAAGATCAAAGCATTGCTCAAAAGAGAAGGGTATGATTCCTGGATCCGCCACAGGGCTCAATCTAACTAGATCTCTCAAAACCACACAGTACCCGTGTAGTTTCTTCCAAAACATATCTCAAAAATGAAATTTATCAAGTAATAAATATATATGTCCCAATTGAGGAAAGTTAGGATACAAGTGTATAGCAGCTTAATTTAAACACATAGGATACAAGTTTATAGCCGCTTAATGTGAAAAAAAAAAAAAAAAAAGCCTTCACATTATTGATATGGAAGAAAGCAACAACTGGCTGAAGGAGTGACAAGTAAGACTATCAAACATGTAGCATATGCATTCACGTGCCATCCAACACGTGACCCTCTACCTCCCCCTTTGGCTTGCCATCAAGTATCATCCAAGCTAACAACTGCTGGTATTTCCAGATATGACATAATAAAGGTTATAGGAATAAGTATAATACCTGTGGTGCAAAGATATAAGCTAGAGTTCCACATACTGCACCTCCGAGAAGGAAACCAGCAAAAAAATCTCCACCTCCACCTCTACGATCACTGCTACAGCAAGCAAAGAAGTACCACAGTAGATAGATAACTCAGTTCTATTGTAGGTTAGAAAGAGCAGACACTAAATACTACTTACAATAAATGCATAACATAAGGCATACTCAAGGGTGAAGGAATCAACATTATAAACCTGTAAAAACACAAACCACCACCTTCTACCTTGAACATAAGGCCCACCTGTATTATCTCTCACCAATACCAAACAGAAATAAAACAATCTGTGGCAACTTGACTGGCACCAAAAAAAAATTTTAAAAAAAAAACAAAAGCACTGCTCCCACAATTCTCCTCAGTATTAGAACATTTTCTATATAAGATGTTGAAAAAAACAAAGGGATTAGTAACCTTTAATCACATCTAATAGTGATCATACTTGATTTAAAATTAAGTCAAGGTCAAAAATATTACCGTACACTAAATTATCTAAGGGTATTTGAAAGATACCAAAATGTCACCAGGTTTGATATAGGTCACATGTTCAAACCAGATGATAAGTTGTTAGCTGTCAGTATTAGAAGAAGATGCCATCCACAAAGCTCGAGCAAGGACTCAAAACAAATAAATAAATTTTTTTAAAAAAAGAACTTTTGATGTTTATGTTGAGAACGGTGACCAAAATGTGACTGTACATTGACCAATCTACAAAGTGAGTCCCAGGCCACACGAAGGCGAAGTAATGAATGAGTCAATATATGTTGTAATACCTAAGCAACGAGTTTTTTTTTTTTTTTTTTTTTTGTAGAAATAAGTAGCTAAAATTTAAGCAATAAACAATACCCTTCTTATAGGCACATTTCCATGAGTTAATACATCTTGTGCACCAATTAAACCTCCTAATGATGACCAATAATAAGAGCAAAGGGAGAGATGTGTTTTAACTAAAAGTACTTTCATCCCATAACGATAACAGAATTATTTGTTTCTATAATTAAAAATCATATTCAAACCAAAAATCCAAAGTGAAGCAAGGGTCATATAATCTTACAACACTAACTACTGTTGCATTACACAATCAATTTTACATATTCTTTATACTTCTTCTTAACATAATATGATCAAAACATTATCTCCCAGCAAATATAAATTACTAAACTCCAAATTTCTTTTACCAAGGGCCTTGTGGCCTACTAGTATCTCCTCTACCTTCCAAAGTGGATGGTGAGGGTTCAAGTCTCCAAAGAAGTAAAATGTGTGTGAGTTTCTTGCCAATGACAAGAAAAAGAAAAAGAAAAAAAAAAACTCCAAATTTCTTTTGTATAAGATCAAATTTTATTAGCTCAACTGGCTTAAATGGTGCGCATTCTTGAAAACACATTTTTTGAATTCGAGTCCCAAGAGAAGCTTGAATATTGTCTAACGGAAAAAATAATTGAATACATAAATAATAAGTGGAATTCAAGAAAATAAAAAATAATAAAGAGGAGAAAATAAAATTCATACTTGTACTCCGCACGAACAGACAACTTGCGGTGAATTCCCTGTTGGTTCGATTTCCTTCCAACTGTCAGTCCGGATATTTTACCAAATGAAATTGACTTTGTGGACCAAAGCTCATGCTCCTTTAGGTGTCCACCACCTATATTTAAATGGAAAAGGATACATACAATACACAAACTCAAAATGTTACGAGAAATCTAGCTCAGAATCCAAGTATCATCTGAAATGATTTTTACATTTTAAATAAAACGATAACCACTTGCTCAAATTATAGTGACTACTTTTACAAGTTCAAAACCTACTAGCATGGTTTTAAGTGCCTTCTGAATGTCATATCTTAAAGCTCATTGAAAAGCAAGGATCAGTCTTAACAACTGTATGCACACCCACATGGTTAAGTAACTTGTTACACCCAAAGATGTGAGGTTCTCATGAGATTCAAAACCTGAGATAACCTTATCTCTATAATATGCATACAGATCATATAAACCAAATCACCAACCAAATCTATGTGGCCATCCTACTAACCCACATGAGTAATGCAGTAAATATTGACAGGATTGTCAAACTGGCTGGGCTAGCCCAAGTATGCTTGTTCAGCCACTAAATTCCCACTGCTTAAATTTGGAGCGACCCCCACAGCTTAGACAAAATTTAGGGCCTAAAGTTGAGTTCAAGTTGAGACCAGGCCACACAAAACTCGGTCTTTCCAAGAAAAATTAATTTAGTAATTTAAAACTATCCTCACACAACTAGGGTTGCTTGCCAGCTTAGTTTCTTTATTTTCTTAATATCTCTGTCACTCTCTCTGATGCAGGACGGGAATGAAAGAATGGGATGAGAATGAGAAGGAAATAGTCGTGCCTAGACTTCAAATAAGTTGTAATCTCCTCAAGGCTCAATTAAAATGCCTCCTTATGTCAAGCTAACGAAAAACCCTTAGGCTCACACTTTTTAGCTGCCACCAAATTCAAAAGAAGCACAAATTTTTATTTTTCAATCATTTATTCATCTATTTTCTTTTTTATTTATTCACTCAAGTTATGCCCTTGAAAGTGTTCTTGAACGCTTTCAAATAATTTTACTTAAAAAAAAAAAAAAAAAAAAAAAAAAAAAAGGCCCCTTGAAAATATTAAGAAAATTAATGCAGGAACTTCGTCATTTTTATCTTTAATTTCCTATTTAATTTATTACGTCTCAAATCCCAACTATATTTCAGAATGTGCTAATTCCTAACTTTAATTAACTAAGAGAAAATCATTTTCCCTTCCCTTCGATTTTATTAACTTTTCCCTTCACTTTTCCTTTCCCTCGCTAGATCCATGACCAAACCCAAACAGAGCCCAAATAAACAGCAAGGAGATGGACTTGAAATAAGTTGTGAGGAGAAAAAAGTCATTTATGAATGAGAAATGATAAATCAAATGAGCTTGCCTTTGGATTAGGCCCAAGTAGATTACATTTTAACCTCATGTAACTAAGTATAGTTATTTAGGATTAACTCGTTCTGGAGCTTTAGATTTGTTAGCGTGCCTATCAAGCTTCAGCCATGGACCTTGTTCAATTTCAACTCAACCGAATTCCACCATGTACACAATTCTTCACCAAACAGAAAAAAAAATAAACAACAGGAAGATTAAAAAAACAAGAATTATGGGTAAAAGAACAACAAAACACACAAATTAATGATACAAAGCAACAACATGATGAATTGCCATTTATAGCAGTAATCCCAACAATAGAATAAAAATCAGACTGTTAAAACATGAAACGATTCAGGATCTTTTAAAACACAAATCAAATAAGAGGGAAAAGAAAAGAAAAGAAAAATTCAGGGGAAAAAAAAACCAATCAATTTCGATAATTACGAGGCATCTAATGCTTTAAGAAAAAACAGCTGTTGTTTAACTCCAGAACATACATAAAACCTTAAAAACACCAAGAGATATTAAGCTGTTGCAAGACTTGAGACGAGTCTGGAAAGTACCTGAAATCGAGATCGGAGCGATGCCGGTCGCCATGAGAGTGTGTGTAGGGAGAGAAACGAGTAGATAAAAAATGAGATCAGGGTCATGTTCATAATAAATACAGTTCGAAATAACAATTTCCAAGAATACCCCCATCCAAATACTGTATGAAATTAACGCCCACCTATTTAAAGCGAAACCATCTTCTACGTAAAATGTTAGGGTAATTTACGCACATCTCTCCCGTAGTTTGTAATTACAGGCAGCCCTCTTTTTGTTTCAAAAATTACGCGAACCTTTCCTACTTTTGAAAATATTTTACATGAACCTCTCTTCTGATATAGTCAATCACAAAAAATGATGACATCAACTACTATTTTTCATAAAATGCCAAAAATACCCTTGCCTATATTATTTCATATTATATATATAGAAAGAGAGAGAAAAACAAAAAAAAAAAAAAAAACAAAACAAAAAAAACATCTACATTGAAACAGCCCAAGAAATTCACCAGTGGTGGTCTTGAAGAATTTGCCGGGGGATGAGTAGGAGACCAATGTATCAAAAAGGGTTTTGAGTGTTTGTAAGTAAATTCCACTTGGGTCCTAAAATTTTTGGTCTGCACAGCCTCTGTACACCAATTTTGTGTAATCTAAGGAGGACACAAGGATGGTGAAGAAAGTTAGAGAGAGAAGAGGAGAGAGAAGGATTTGGCAGCAACTAGAGTTGAGCCCATCTGGGGATTTGAATTCTGTTCAAACCATCACCGGCTTTTTGAAAGGAATTGAAAAGGGTTTTTTTTGGTGGCTTCTAGAGATGGATTTTTTTAGAGAGAGAGTGGGTGTGTGCCGTGTTGTTCTAGAAGGAGATCAAAATCAAATCATAAATAATATTGCAAGAATTGTATGAATCTGTTGTGGGTGTTGTTTGAATTTGACCCATTTTTCCTCTTGAATAGTAAAATTGCAATTGAAAAGTTTTGATTGATTATTCAATGTTCTTCAACAAGCTCACGTTTTCCTAATCATTAATAAAATTATTCTCTTTTATTAATTGTAGTTATATATATATATATATATATATATATATATATATATATATATATATATATTTGTTGTGTATACGTATATTATGTAAAGTTAGAAAGTGAGGAAAGAGAAAGTGTGAGGTGGAAGAAGAGGTTGCCAAAACGATTCGCCAGTGGGTGGAGGTCGATGGCGGCTGACTGATGTATAATAATCCCATCGGTGATTGATTTTCAATCATAAAAACAAACCTCATCAAAGTGTGGCCCAATCTTGCCAACAAACCTCATCAACGACCCATTTGAGAATAAACTGAACAACAATGGCAGTTTTTGATGGATTCATCTCTGACATATGAGAGAGGATTTGGGTAAGTTAGAGAGAGAAAGTAAATCCTTGAATGAAAGTTGGTGATGGATTCTATAACTTGCCTTTTGGAGAAGATGACAAGCTGATGTCATGCCTACACAATAACTTAGAGGGGCAGTTTAGTAATTTTAAATGCCAAGGAAAGGGTATTTCAGTAATTTTGACAAGCTCCGTTAGTGTATTTAACGGTCCATCACACATAAGGGAGGTCCATGTAGGATATTTTCAAAATTAAGGGAGGTCCGTGTAATTTTCGAAATAAGAAGGGTGTTGCTGGTAATTATGGTAAACTATAAGGGAGGTCTATGTAAATTACCCTAAAATGTTACAGAAGGACGAACCACTGAATACATTTTTTTGACGTGTGTTGATTCACACGCCAATATATATTATTAAGAAAGTAAAAAATAACTCCAGAACTATTTAGATATATCAAATTCTGAACTATACGATTTAATTTTGTTATTATTTTAAATTATTATTATTATTACTATCACCAGCACTACTACTATTATTATTATTATTATTTGAACTATTTTGTTTATAATTTATAAGCTTCCATAAACTGTTTGTAGGTATATAGATACATCAGGTAACTAATTAAGTTATTTATTTTTGTTATTATTATGTAATTATTACTATTACTACTACTACTATTATTAGTTATTAGGCAAAAGTGCAACTAAAAAAAAAAAAAAAAAACAACGTGTTTTTGTTATTATTATTATTATTATTATTTTATTTTTTTTGATAATTTGTGAGCTTGCAAAATTATTTTATAGGTATACGGATCTAGGGGTGAGCAAATAATCCGTCAATCCGATCCGAACTAATCCGATCCGTGTAATTCGATTCAATTTTCAGTTTTCAGATCTCATGGTTCAGTGATAGTTTGAAAATTTTACAATCCGGTATTCGCGGTTCGGTTAACGGATTTGGCTTCTGAAAAAATCGATCCGAACCGATCCGTTACCTATTTGAACCGTTAACCAATCCGAACCGAACCGTTACCTAAATAATATATTAATATTATATATATATATATATATATATATATATGCAATATTCAATATACAGTATATACTTATTACTTACCGTATTATTATTTTTTTATTAATTATTTTTTTTAACTTTTCAGTTAACCCTAGCAGTATCCAAACTCATTACTCCATCTCATTTCATTACACAGCCTCTGTCGCGCCTCCCTCTTCTCTTCAGTCTTCTCTTTTCTCCCTTTTATCTCTTACAGCCTCAGCTGCGCCCCCTCAACCCTTCTTCTCTTCAGTCTTCTCTCTTCTTCCTCTTCTCTTCAGTCTTTTTTCTCTCTTACAGCCTCAGCCGCTCCTTTTAATCCAACACCTTTTTTCTTTAATCTTCTCTCTTACAGCCTCAGCCGCGCCTCCCTCTTCTCTTCAGCCTTCTCTCTTCTCCCTCTTCTCTTCATTTTTACTTCTCTCTTACAGCCTCAGCCGTGCCTCTTAATCCAGCACCTCTTTTCTTTAGTCTTCTCTTTTACAGCCTCAGCCACACCTATCAATCCATCGATCACCAGATTCAAAGCAACGGCGACCTCTGCGTATCGAAGCAATGCCTCCCTCAGCCCCTCTTCTCTTCAGTCTTCTCTTTTCTCCCTCTTTTCTTTAGTCTTCTCTCTTACCGTCCAAACCATGGAAATCGATCCGAATCGATCCGTTACTTTACGGATTGGTTTGGTTTGGTTTGAAAACCCCCACGGATCGGTTCAGTTTCAATTTTCACCAATCCGTGGGGACCAGTTCGGCTTGATCTTTACCCCCAAACCGAACCATGATCAGGCCTATATGGATCTATCAAGGAACTAATCGAGCAATTTATTTTTGTTATTATTTTAAAATATTATTATTATTATTACTACCACTATTATTACTATTATTATTTTTATTGTTGTTATTATTATTATTGTTGTTAATTTGCAGGGGTTCAAAAGTGATTCACATATTTTGCGTCTAAGTGATTCAAAACTACTATTACTATTACTATTATTTTTATTATTAGTATTAGTTTTAGTATTACTAATAATATTATTATTATTATTGATATTGTTTATCATTATTAGGCAAAATTGTAAATAAAAAAAAAAAAAAAAAAAAGGCTGCCGAATTGTTGGTTAGTTGCAAGATGGCCCCTTAAGGATATTATGAATATTGTACATTTCTGTTTTTTTATAACTTTTATATAAATGAATAAGTGGGGGTATTTTTGTAATTTTGACCCTCTGGGTTCCAAAAAATGTGGTTCGGTATGCTTTGTATTGAAGAGGGGTTGAATTGCAACCCCAAATAGTATAAACGATTATTTTTTACTTTTGTAATAGTTAAGTAGTTTTTTGCACTTTTGCCTTAAAATTTATATATATATATATATATAATTTAAATATCTAATTATCACTAAAATCTCATTCACTAAAAATTTTATTTCATTATATGTGACATTTATTCTTTCAAAGTGATTTGATATTGTACTAGCAAACTCAGTCAATTAAATAATTACTTAGTTTATTTCGTATTACATATTGAATTGTTAGACATGAAGAAAAAGAGATTTCTAAAATTTACCATTCTTTTTCAATCAAATAAAGAAAAGAAAACATTTTTAAAAGTATATTTATATATATATTGTGACGGCCCAAGTTTTGTAAACCCGGTGCGTCAGTGATGACCAAAAGGTGACTCGATAACGGATCTGAAATGTTGAAGCCAAATGTGATAAATGACCTCTAGAGACATACGTCATCCCTAAGGCACTAAAATGACTCCCCATGAAGCCATGGAACTCGACTAAGTCATGCAAATGAGGGAAGAATGCTAAAACCCGAAAAGAAATGAACTAAGGGTAAAATGGTTATTTCAAACTGAAATGGATGCCACCTCGCATACCATTGGAAAGACAAAAATAAATGAATGAGGTTGGACTCAAGATCTGATTTGGAGTCCGAACGGAAAAGATATGAAAAGAACAAAACAGCATTCTCCGTTTAAGAGATACCATGAACCTATCTCACTAAAACAGAAATAACTCTCACCACAGGTGGAGTTTTGATGTGTGGTTGGAATCATTGGAAAGCTAACCTCAAGCTCTTGAATTTTAACTCAAGAATAACCCAATTTGGATTGAGAATGAAAGAGTTATGACCCTCTGAAGTCAATGCAAGGAAACTGTCCAAGGAAAATAAAGTGAGAAGGTCCCAGGGAAGATCGGTCGACCAAAAGGCTCTCATCAGCCGACTAAAACTCCATCATCGGTCTGCCAAACCCCAATCGTCAACCGGCCAAAACGACAAAAATCCTAAAATGGCTACTGGAATGGTTCCTTGAGCATGTGGCAGCCGGCTGATGAAGACCGACGCCTCTACTGCTGCAATTTAAAAGTTGCTGTAGAGAATAAAAAGCTAACCTCGGTCCAACCTTAATGCATGTATGCATTTCAATTGATCCTAAATGAGTTCGAAAACATTTTCTAGCCTTAACCAAGTGTAATCAACATGCTAAACCAAAGAAAGACATAGAACTTGCTCTCATGCATGAGTTTTTGCATAAAATACATAAATCATTCCATAAATGGTTCAAAAGTTGCAATTCAAGAGTTTTATGAAATGTAAGCATGCCCGCAAATGTAAAATGATGTTTTAGACGCGCTACAATGGCCTACGGCCTCATTTCAATCCATTTACAAAAATTGACCTTTCAAAC